CCCCCCCGGCCCGTCGCCGCCCTGCACCGCGACCGCGCCCCGCGTCTTCTCTGCTCCGCATCGTTAAAAGATGCCGCGACGCGTTAATATTTCATCCTTGTCTCCCTGGCCTATGTGCCGCGGGTCCGGGTACCGAGGCAGACGAGCAGAAAGACATTTTAGTGAGCGCGGTCCTAGTGGTCTCGCTGCTGCTGCTGCTGCTACTGCTACTGCTACTGCTGCCGGTGGTCTTGGTGCTGCTGCTTCCGGCCGTCTTGCTGCTGCTGCTGTTGGTGGTCTAGCTGCTGCTGCCGCGGCCGCTGCTGCTGCTGCTGGGCGTAAAGAAGCTCCCCGTGACGGAGGACGTGCGGCCTGACTTACTGCCGCTCGTTACGTCACCGAGCCGCCCGGAGCCGCCGCCGCCGCACCAGGACAGGGGGGGCAGGCGTCCTCGAGGAAATGTTTTCAGTTTAGAGGCCTGACCGCCGCCGTGCAGTGCGTCGCCAACGAGGGCGTCGACGCCTCTGTCTGAACGCCGCGAGTGTTGCAACCGGTTGCAACCGAATAACAATAATAAAACAAATGCGTGAACGCCGTCGCGTCATGCCGCAGTCGTCGCTTATCGTAGTGGTGCGTGCGGAGATCGATATTCATGAAAGCAAAAGAATCATTACGTTATTGATGTCGGATACCACACAATTCCCTGTCGTTATGCCGTTACTCACATGCATGCGTGACCGCGCTTGGTTTTAATACCACACTCGTCGCAAAGACCATTCAAACATTTGGGAATTCCCTCCCGCTTGCACGCGCGCGGCACGCACGCCTGGCGGCGCCCAACTTTGTGGGCCGCCCGGCTAGATGAGAATCGTTGTCCATGACGAGATTTCACGCGCCTCTGTTTGTGTGAGTTACTCTGTGTGTGGGGGGGGGGGGAGGCACGCGTGCGAAAACACACATCACACACGCGTGCGTCCCGTTACTACACATTATGCGACTGGGAAATATGTCCCCGTGGCCCGGCTGTCGTATGGGCGCTGCGCTCGCTCGCGCTCTGTTTCGGGCGAAATGCCTTCATTTCCTCATCTCGTTAAAATTTGTAAAAAAAACAACAAAAACAAACTCACTTTGTTGGTGCTAATAAATATCACATGAAATCTGTTGTTATTTCACCCCTCGTCGACGCTCAGTATTTAGGCACATGCACATAAACACGAATGGTATTTTTAAATAATTTATTACAAAAATGACAATGAACTCTACGCGATAGGTTTGAAGCCCCTCCCACATTATGTGCAGGGAGCGGATTCATCCTCTTGCCCGAGAAGAAGCGGGGGGATATGACGTCGGTTGAACCTCCGCCGCCGCGGCACCCGCCCTCCCATATGAACAGCATGCAGTGTGTGCTGCTGCTGCTCTTGGTGGTGTTTCGACACGGATGGGTGGCCGTCAGTGCGGGCAAAGCTGGCCCAAAGCCCTGCAGAACGCGCAGTGCCTGTAGTGCCGCTGGTATATACAAAGTTGGCAAATCCTGCGCCCTCCCCCCCC